ACGTCCACGACAGTGCGCAATCAGCTACATTTAGAAAGCATACAAGAAACGAATACTTGTCCGATAGATTACCATAATTGCTCGTGTCAATAGGAGTCGCAGCGGTCTATGAACGGGGCCATTACCGTCTAAAGATGGCCACACCGTGACAGCACCAAACGTCCACGAAGAGCCATCGACCCAATATCCTACAGATGGCATTTCACACAATTACACGGAATGAAACTTCAAACAAATTAGCAGAACGTCAATTTGTTACTGTCACCCTTCCCTCCATTCTTAGAACACGGTGGCTCTACAAACTGTTGCCATATGGGAGCAGCTTGTACCGTTTCAATTCGATGATTAGTGAATGCCTTGAGAAAATATGGAAAAACTCGTATATTGCGTCAATTCTTCAATATTTCTCAGCGCCAATCGCACAGCGATCATCGAATAGTTCACTCAATGGAACGTATCATACAACGGACACGATCTATTGATAAAATGTCTGGCCCAATACTGTTCCCCTAGACATCCGTCGATCACTAATGGTAGCGGTCCGGGGCGAAGGCCGTGTATCAGTGTCATACCACACGCACCACTGACTGCCATCACAAATGTCGCCAATCAGTGGTCGATATCGTTCGAGAATACCAAAACACGCAAGGCACGCAAACGCATACTGATGTGAGGCAGATTCCTGGAATTGTGCTGACCGCCAAAATGAGAGGCCGGGGCGAGGACGGAGTGGTGTCAGCCCGTGGGACTAGCGCGAGTGTAGTGTTATTATAGTCGTTACATTCAACGTGTAACAGTCAGTGGTACCCGCTATACGATTGATTTGTGCCCCAAAGCGATGACTTGTGGCTCAAAGCGACATTAGAAACGAGCTTAAGCCTCGTCATATGTTAGGGTAACTCATGATCATAAAGTTAGGGCAACCGGATCACTGATACCAAAAATAATGGAATCCAAAAGCAGCCACCGGATGCTTTCCAGCCGCGTTTATCGGAGCATATTGAATCTGCGTTCCTCTGGTAGCAAAAATATCGCAGAGCTTCGCCACGCTCAAACTCTTCAAAAACATCACACGCCAGCCGTGCCGGTGAGCTCACCTAAGAGATCAATACCGCCGGTACAGCTCAGCTGCGACACCGCCAGAAGCTGTGGGACGGTGCCGTAAGGCGCAGGACGGACGCGGGCGGTAGACTGACGGCCTCGCAGGGTTATGCATCGCCGGGGTCCTCGTCACAGCGCCGCCTCTTCTCGATAGAATGTAGCACCGCCTGTGAAAACAGATGTGGTTTGAATAATGAAAAGGACCTCTAATTAAACTGCTGGGGGCTTAGTTCGAGAAAGATGCTTGACTTAAAGATGCAAACACTCCAAAACTCCCAATATGAGTCCCCGAGCTGAGTCCCAGTAATGAGGCTGCCACAGCGAACATTTGTAAAAATGTCGTGATAGCGCTTTGTTAAAGGAAAATACAGCATTGCCGTTAGCCCGTCGCTCTACTTAGCTCAATACCGCTTCAATTATACATGGTATTCCCTGAAGCTGCGTTTGTCATATATTTCTGAGTGCAGTTCTATCGACCCTGTCTGAGTTGAAAGCGTCGGACCCGAGGGACTCAATCTGCCAAAAACATTCCATTTGCAGCGGCCGACGCACGCACTCTGAACAGTAAACAGCCGCTAAAATGCTATCAACTGAATCTACTATGGAAACAGATTCAGCGTGCAATAGACCTCCGCATAACTGGGACTGACGGCAATCTTTGCATTTATTGCATATTTTATTTGTCAGCTCTCTGCATCAGGCTATCTCCAACAACACCCATAGGAAGTGCAAAGCTTATGATATGTTGTGTTGCAATCCGATAAAAAACTGCCCGGACCTTTGCCTTCAACTACGATTGACCGCGACAAGCCGTCCCATGAGCCTTCCGTTCGTTACTTGCCGGATCTTGGATCCATTCCTACCTATTGGATTCGTTACCTGTTGGATCTTGCATCTGTTACCTATTGGATTCGTTACCTGTTGGATCTGCTCGCGCACCATACGCAGCCGGTCGGTCGTCCGTTCCATCAGACTCTGCTCGGCCGAGGAACTGCTACTGCTAGTCTCGGCTGGCTGGTTTGGCTGCTGCTCCGGTGTCTCGTGTATTCTGGAATAGACAAAACTTCAGGATCACGTGACATGATAGGACTGTAGTTCTGAGAGATTGTACTAAGTAAGGACTAGTACGTGAAACGGAACAAAAAAAGAGGGCCGGGTTTCTGTAAAACTACCGTCTCGAGTGTCTGAAACAAAACAATGTCTTATTCCGTTTCGGCCACTTTTTCTATGAAATATCCACGCATCGGATTTTGTTCGTGTTCTTCTGCCTTTCCTCGGTTTGTATTTTTAGCACCTCATCTCGTGTACTTAACTGGGATAAGACTTGTTCAAAATTAACAACAAAGTCGGATTCGGACGAGTTTGCAGCAGCACGGCTTAGTTTTACATCCCGGTAGCGCATCAGACTCGAACACTACTTATGTAAACTTATATAAACTTCGCAAGATCACTCGTTCTGTTGAGTTAGGTCATGTTTGCTCTAGCTAATGAGAAAACTTTGATCATTAGAAAACGAGACTTAAATGCTCGTTGGACACGCCACAACTACCTCGCCGTCCATTTCATACCGTCGTTCACGGTCACAAAATGCCGCCATTGATAGGTATCGAACGAATCGACAAGCGGTCAACTGCGTAGTAGCGGCTGTGTCAAGTGCCATGCGGGGCGTTATTTTAGCCGGCAGAGGACATCAACGCCCATCCTACTACCAACAGCCAACGAGTGACTCGCCGTCGCTACTCACCTTTTCCGTTTGAAGACGATCCGTTTCCGTGGCCGGTCAGGGGCGGTCGGGGGCTCCGGCTGCTCCGGCGGTGCCGTCTGCTGTGCTCCGCCGTCCGCCGCCGGGGGGGCCCACTCACCCGGCAGGGGCAGACAGGGTCCGATCAGGGGCCCGGGGGGCTCGGCAGCGAGCGGAGGGTCACCGGAGGGGCCCGGGTCGGCTTCAGGTGGCGGTACGGCCGCCGTCCTCTCTCCCGGTCTCCGACCACCCCGACCTCTGTGGGAGGGTCCCGGGGTTAGACGCAGTATATCGAGCGGGCGTGGACCGTGAGTGCTGGCCAGCCAAGCGTTCTGAACTATACAAAGGGCGATGATCAAAGTCATCAACACGATGATAGGCTATAAGCGGGTATTTCCAAGAAGTAGGGACTCGACGTAGACCTAATACAGGATGTACTGTATCCCGCGTCAGGTCACAATTCGATTACAAAGACGAAATGAACCAATTAGTTTCGTTCCAGAAAACAGTGGCGAGCAATTATAGACCTATTGATCTCTCACCAACAGTCTGGGTGCTCAGCTGAGCAAGAAAGAGCCAAACGATGCCCTATCGCGAGGTATAAATCAGAAAAAACGTACTGACGCAAATCAAGTGTAAATGGTCACAAATTATAATTGGAACATGTCACAGGTTCGGACGTCATTATTGTAAATGGCAGCTGTGTGAGTTGCATTTTCCACGAGAATGTCCTCATTACTTTACACGACCTACAATATGCACCGCATGCCTTCTGACACTCGAGAAATTGCGGATGTCTTTGCTACGTACAGTGAATTGCATGAAAAATTCACGTGTCCAATACAGCACGAAGATATCGCAATTCGAATTCATAGAAAACAATGAGCCTTGAGACTGCGACGCTTTGCAGTGTCATTTTAGTGACGAGACTACATAACAGGTCTGTACCACCTCTACCTCCACTTCATCCATATCCCTTCCCCATTCCTCCAGCACTCTGTAAAATGATCTCTCCTCTACCCCACCTGGCCAGTCCGTTTCGGTAGTAGAGTCGCCTCCAGCGCAGTTTGTCGGCCGTCTCCTCCAGAGTCTCCAGCTCAGGAGCGTAGCACGCCTTCAGGTGGGTACCGAAGAAGCTGAGGTCATCCAGCTGCACTTTGGCAAACCTGGGGAGCAGGAAACAGTCAGCGGTTGTTGGAGGAAAAAAACTTAATACTGAAAAGAAAGAACTCGTAAAAACGACTTGTGCGATTCCTAATTGGATGTAGCTGATGTAATCATGACTCCAAGACAAATATGATTTTTAAAAATGATCATTCAAAAATCACAGATGTGTCTTGATTCCCAAGCCACTAAACCTTATATTATCGTGGATATCCGGTGCTGTTATCATTATTGCCGCCGCACAAACAGCCCGACCCCACACCGTACAAGTCAGTCCCTCTCCCATACCTGGCGGCCGCCATCCGTTTGTACTGGACATGGTACACCTTGGTGAACCGTTCCGTCTCATAGTCATCCACGGGTCCGAACTGAGCCAGCGGGCCGAACCGCTGGCACAGCGCCGCCAGCTCGTCAGCAATGTTCAGAGAGCTGACATTCCGCAGCAGGAGGTGCCGCGACTCGTCAGCGACCGTGTACACCTGTGAGAGGGGTGAGGGTGTGAATTCACACCTGGGGGAGAGTCAGGAGTGAAGATACACATCGGGAAGGGGTCAGGGTGAATGTGCACCTGGGGGAGGTTTCAGGGAAGAATGTACACCACTGGAAATGGTAAGGGGTAAATGTACGCTTGGGTTAATAATCACCTGAGGAGGGGATTCAGGGGTGAAAACATGGTTGGGGATAGGGGTGAGGGCTCCGGTAAGTGTATGACTGTGAGAGGTCAAGACGTGTAAATATACACTTCCGGAACGAATTCGAAGAGTAAATGAGCACCCGTCTGTGTGAGAAGGCGAATGTACGGTTGCCTCTTGTGTGTGGAGCGGGGTCGGATGACAAATGCCAGAGACAACAAACGGTACAACCAATGTTGCTGGCCTGGCTGGTATGTGACCTATTTATCGCTGTCCACTGTGGCAAGACAATAAATAAACATTTTTGTCTACATCTGAGTAATATCTTAAAACCATCACGGGTACCAGGAAAAAACAACAGCTTGATTTCAAAATGTATTTTCTAGAAAAGTGCATTGCAATCGGGCTCAGCTAGAGCATACTAGCATGATGAATGGGTAACAACGTTTGCTGGAGTCCATAGCGTGAATGTGACGCACCATTTGTGACGCATTCCAACGGAGTAACCGGAGACATACACGTACAAACGTGCAAAAAAAATCGCATAAAAAGAACGTGCAACCAGAATCGTCAATGAGTAATGACGGCCTGAGTACAAAACATATCACGTCCTCGCCGTAGATAAACAGTCAAAAGCGCTTGTAAGTCACTGGAACCAGCCGACTCCCCGCCATTCTGCTGCCCTGTCTCCATTACTCAGTCGACTTCCACTTCATGATCGCTCTCCCCTTCCTAACCTGACACTCGCCCCTCCCCTGCTCTCCCTCAGTCCACCTCCATTTCGTTGTCACTCTCCCCATCCTCCTCTGCCCGCTTCCAGACACACACCATGTTGTTATGCGTCACGCCTACAACATACTGTTCGTCCTCACTCAGACACACGCGGTTCATCAGAATCGGAAAACGGTGAAGCGGCACTTTCCTCGCACGGGACAGCTCTTCGTCCTGGGGTCGCGGCCAGCACAGCGTGTTCACAGGCTCACCGCTAGAGGCGCCACTGTCACGCCAGTTCCACATCCAGATGGCGCCCTTGTCATCACCGGCGGCTAGTAGGTTAGTGCCGGCTCCTAACCCCAGGTAGCTTTCTGTGGTGTCACTCCAGCGGAGTACTCGGCACGGCGCGGGGATGAGATCCACGCGAATAGGAGCTCGTTCACCTTCCTGAGGCGGCTCGAGGTCTGACAATGACCACACGTACACACAACCACGAGAAGCACACTTCACCGCCACTTTCTCCGTCCCCAGAAGGGTAATCGCGTCCACAAACTCCTCATCCCCTTCACTGGCGCCTGCGGGAGGCTCTGGGAGCTTGTACCGCACCTCCCGCGGCTGCCGCTCACCCCTCACCACATCTAGTGTCAGCTCCCAGCCGCTGAGACCGCCCTCACACCCCGCCAGCAGCAGTTCGGCAGACGCGTGCACGGCCAGCGCCAGCGGCGGCGTGGCGGTCTCCAGTCGCAGCAGCTGATGCGGTTCAACCTTGTACAGCGGCGGTGCTGGTACGCCGACATCCCAGAGCGACACGGCACCGTTACCAGTGGCGGCCAGCAGCCAGCGCGAGCGGCGAGGGTGGAACACCAGCGCCGTCACCTCACAGCGCCCCGCCGGGCCCGGTGAGAACGTTGCGTACCAGGTCAGATTGTCCGGGTGGAGGAGGTACACACGACCGGTGCCGCCCACAGCGAGAATGGCGATCCGACGGGCACCGATCTCACTCAGTCGCAGCCGGCTCCAGGCGAGAGCGCTCAGTCGCTCGCTGATGTCCGGGTGGGAGAATTTCTTGAGCAGTTTCCCGGTCTGTACCTGTATCAGACAGACCGAGTTGCCGCCGCACGTGGCTACCACGTCCCCCACGTCTCCCCCGCCGCCTCCGGGCATGAACTTGCAGTCCCAGAGGTCTGTGTGGACGTCAGAAGGGTCACCGCGAGCCGAGTGGCAGCGAAGGAAGTGAGCGGGCTCGTATTTGGTCGACACTTCGTCATCAGCATCCCAGTCGAGGTTCGCGCCGTCACTGTAGTCAGCGGGGTCGTACTGGATGGGCGGCGGGGGCGCCTTGGGCTTGGCCGGAGGCTCAGGGCTGGCCTCTCGGTCGCCACTGAGGAGCCTCCGTCGGGCCGGGGTGCCGGGGGTCCCAGCTCCGACACCAGAGCTGCCGGTCTTCTTAGGAGTCGACCTAGTGGCAGGGGTCCCGCTCCCAGCTCCAGTATTAGTGTTCTTTTTCGGAGTCGATTTGGTGGCCGGAGTCCCGCTCCCACCTCCAGCGCTGGCTGTTTTTTTCGGAGTCGACTTGGCTTTCTTCGATGCCGAGCCGCCGCCGCTGGCCCTCTTGCGGCGGGCTTTGGTGTCCGAGCTCCGAGCGGCCGACGGTGTCCGCTCAGGCGAATCTGGTGACTCGGACAGTCGGAACCGGAGCGGCACACGGGCGCTGCGGCCGCTGCTGCGCCGTCCCTCCGCCGGACTGGTCGCCGCTGACGGAGCCGCTGAGGCCCGGGACGATCGCACCATGACGCCGCTTCAGAACACAGAAACAGACAGCCTCCGATCAGTTGGTGGCATCTTCCAGCCAGTACAAGTGGATAGAATAATTTGCAGTGTCCAGCTGTCAAATGTCAGGATTGCACAACATATGGGGGTAATGGATGGGGTTTAGGTGAAACACTGATGCCTTTCAGATTTGGAATGACAATGGAAATAAGTTTTCAATCATCATCAATTTATGGGCATTTCAAAGAAACTGCACCTATGGTTAGTTGCACCATAGTCTATTGGATTATCAAAGTTTAATGATTGAATAATTGGCATATAAATCTATGTGAATTCTTGTCAAACAGCTTAGAATAATGCTAGTTTTCTGTTCAGAAAATCAGGCAGACTTTACTTGGGTTGGACACAGTTTTGAGCTTCTTGGAGACACATCATCAAACCATGCTCTCATTTTTCAAAGCTTAAATGACAAAATTGCATATGTGTGCAGACACTGACAGCAAGTTATATACCTATGTTAGAATGAAAGGCAGTGACAAAATTATAGTATTTTCCTTTAAAAAGAATATGAAGAAGTGTTCACTTTACTAGTTCTTTTTATCACTAGGCATCTTATTTGATAACATGTTTCTGCAACACCCACTAAATTTACACTGTTTTGTTTTGTAAAGCATTATTTGTTAGGTATTCCTTCCTGAGGTTCAAGGGAGAGGTAAGGTAGGTGATTGGAAGATGACATTTACAATAATTAAATTGCTTTTATTTTATCTCAGTGTAGTGTGCTCCAATGCTGAAAAACAGAAACATGATTTTGGCAGGCTGTTAATTTAATCATGCCTTGGGAAATGCCAACTGCAAAGGTCATTCCACAAATATTGGTATTGTTATAGCAGGCGTCTCACATGCTGCCACCGGTTTGGGAAAAGTCGCTAGATTCGTCAGGTCTAGAGATATTTCTACCAAGTCGCTATATAGGGTAATCACATAGCGGTGATTTCAAAAACGGAGTCAGTTTTTTTCTGAGCTGGCGGGGGGGGGTTTGGGGGGGATTGCCCCCCCCCCTTGCCGATAGCTCGGGAACGGCTGAACGGAGCCAGGCTTGCAAGGCGTCGTTGGAAAGAGGTCGAGTAGATAAGCCTAATTAGTAATGCAAACTATCATCGGGATACTGGGGGGGGGGGGGGGGCGTAGGGGCGTATTGCCCCCTTGCCGATAGCTCGGGAACGGCTGATCGGAGCCAGGCTTGCAAGGCGGCGTTGGAAAGCGGTCGAGTAGACAAGCCTAATTAGTAATGCAAACTATCATCGGGATACTGGGGGGGGGGGGGCGTAGGGGGGATTGCCCCCCTTGCCGATAGCTCGGGAACGGCTGATCGGAGCCAGGCTTGCAAGGCGGCGTTGGAAAGCGGTCGAGTAGACAAGCCTAATTAGTAATGCAAACTATCATCGGAATACTGGGGGGCGTAGGGGGGGGGGGGATTGCCCCCCTTGCCGATAGCTCGGGAACGGCTGATCGGAGCCAGGCTTGCAAGGCGGCGTTGGAAAGCGGTCGAGTAGACAAGCCTAATTAGTAATTTGCAAACTATCATCGGGATACTGGGGGGGGGGGGGCGTAGGGGGGATTGCCCCCCTTGCCGATAGCTCGGGAACGGCTGATCGGAGCCAGGCTTGCAAGGCGGCGTTGGAAAGCGGTCGAGTAGACAAGCCTAATTAGTAATGCAAACTATCATCGGGATACGGGGGGGCGTAGGGGGGATTGCCCCCCTTGCCGATAGCTCGGGAACGGCTGATCGGAGCCAGGCTTGCAAGGCGGCGTTGGAAAGCGGTCGAGTAGACAAGCCTAATTAGTATTTGCAAACTATCATCGGGATACTGGGGGGGGGGGGCCTAGGGGGGATTGCCCCCCTTGCCGATAGCTCCGGAACGGCTGATCCGAGCCAGGCTTGAAAGGCGGCGTTGGAAAGCGGTCGAGTAGACAAGCCTAATTAGTAAAGCAAACTATCATCGGGATACTGGGGGGCGTAGGGGGGGGGGGATTGCCCCCCTTGCCGATAGCTCGGGAACGGCTGATCGGAGCCAGGCTTGCAAGGCGGCGTTGGAAAGCGGTCGAGTAGACAAGCCTAATTAGTAATGCAAACTATCATCGGGATACGGGGGGGCGTAGGGGGGGGGATTGCCCCCCTTGCCGAAAGCTCGGGAACGGCTGATCGGAGCCAGGCTTGCAAGGCGGCGTTGGAAAGCGGTCGAGTAGACAAGCCTAATTAGTAATTTGCAAACTATCAGCGGGATACTGGGGGGGGGGGGCGTAGGGGGATTGCCCCCCTTGCCGATAGCTCCGGAACGGCTGATCGGAGCCAGGCTTGCAAGGCAGCGTTGGAAAGCGGTCGAGTAGACAAGCCTAATTAGTAATGCAAACTTTCATCGGGATACTGGGGGGGGGGCGTAGGGGGGATTGCCCCCCTTGCCGATAGCTCGGGAACGGCTGATCGGAGCCATGACTTGTCTACTCGAACGCTTTCCAACGCCGCCTTGCAAGCCTGGCCCCGATCAGCCATTCCCGAGCTATCGGTCAAGGGCAACACCCCCCCCCCCCCACACACACACACACGCCCCCCCCCCAGTATCCCGATGATAGTATGCATTACTAATTAAGTAATTAGGCTTGTCTGCTCGAACGCTTTCCAACGCCGCCTTGCAAGCCTGGCTCAGATCAGCCGTTCCCGAGCTATCGGCAAGGGGGGCAATCCCCCCAAACGCACCCCCTTCCCCTAGTATCCCGATGATAGTGACTTGTCTACTCGAACGCTTTCCAACGCCGCCTTGCAAGCCTGGCTCCGATCAGCCGTTACCGAGCTATCGGTCAGGGGGGCAATCCCCCCAAACGCACCCCCCTAGTATCCCGATGATAGTGACTTGTCTACTCGAACGCTTTCCAACGCCGCCTTGCAAGCCTGGCCCCGATCAGCCGTTCCCGAGCTATCGGTCAAGGGCAACACCCCCCCCCCCCACACACACACACGCCCCCCCCCCCCCCAGTATCCCGATGATAGTATGCATTACTAATTAAGTAATTAGGCTTGTCTACTCGAACGCTTTCCAACGCCGCCTTGCAAGCCTGGCTCAGATCAGCCGTTCCCGAGCTATCGGCAAGGGGGGCAATCCCCAAACGCACCCCCCTTCCCCTAGTATCCCGATGATAGTGACTTGTCTACTCGAACGCTTTCCAACGCCGCCTTGCAAGCCTGGCTCCGATCAGCCGTTCCCGAGCTATCGGTCAGGGGGGCAATCCCCCCCAAACGCACCCCCCCTAGTATCCCGATGATAGTGACTTGTCTACTCGACCGCTTTCCAACGCCGCCTTGCAAGCCTGGCTCAGATCAGCCGTTCCCGAGCTATCGGCAAGGGGGCAATCCCCCCCAAACGCACCCCCCCTAGTATCCCGATGATAGTGACTTGTCTACTCGACCGCTTTCCAACGCCGCCTTGCAAGCCTGGCTCAGATCAGCCGTTCCCGAGCTATCGGCAAGGGGGCAATCCCCCCTACGCCCCCCCCCCCCAGTATCCCGATGATAGTTTGCATTACTAATTAGGCTTGACTACTCGACCGCTTTCCAACGCCGCCTTGCAAGCCTGGCTCCGATCAGCCGTTCCCGAGCTATCGGCAAGGGGGGCGATCCCCCCCTACGCACCCCCCAGTATCCCGATGATAGTTTGCATTACTAATTAGGCTTGTCTACTCGACCGCTTTCCAACGCCACCTTGCAAGCCTGGCTCCGATCAGCCGTTCCCGAGCTATCGGCAAGGGGGCAATCCCCCCCAAACGCCCCCCCCCCCGCCAGCTCAGAAAAAAACTGACTCCGTTTTTGAAATCACCGCTATGTGATTACCCTATATAGCGGCTTGGTAGAAATATCTCTAGACCTGACGAATCTAGCGACTTTTCCCAAACCGGTGGCAGCATGTGAGACGCCTGCTATCATAATACCCAAATATTTTACTGAATATATGTAATCAAAAATTCAGCCCTCACCTTTACTGCAGTAAGCTTTTTGCCTTGTCTATATTTTGCACGAGTCTCACACAGTGGCTCTTCCTCGTGATGCGGCAGCTTCACAATCTTCACAGGCTCATTGCTTTCCTCCATCAAATTACACACTGAAATGAAAACAAGCAATAACATCAATTTTTCAGCACTTACATTGGAAAATTAGATATCCTAATTGGTATGTGTTAATTGTTTCATTAATCATTATTCATTAAAAGTACCTAGGTAAATTGAATGGTTGAGTTGATATCGATCAACATCTGGCTCGTGGAAATAAAAATGTTTTATACCTTAACTAAGTAGAACTTAATAAGGTCTTCAATGAATGATAAAAATATAATTATGCATGCATTTTAAAAATATGGTGTTGCTGACATACAATATTCAATAATCCCATGATATTCGACTTTTACTTTACTTGTGATGCGATGCAATAACTGTCCCAACCACAAACGGACAAAGCTATGAGATAGGTACTTACATATTCAGGAACTTATATGTGCATGAAAGGTTTCGTACAGCTCTGCAAAAAAGAAGACAATTTTTAATTCAAACTTTCAACTGAAATCAAATGCGACTGAACGCAACTACCTACCTATCAAACAATCACGCTCTTTGCATTGTTATTGCGCGCGATAGGCGGGAAACTCAGATAAGTAGCAGTTGCGCTATACCTGTCTTACTTTTCATCAGATTACGACAACTAAATAAACATGGGCCATGACCAATGTTGAAAGCACGTTTACTGGTGCATTTTTTGTGCAAGATGTCTTCAATTGACGCTTTTTAAGTGCAATAAAATTAGTCACAAATAAATTAAACACTTTTTTTACTCTGTTTGCAGATGGTTTGCAGCATTCTGCAATATACCCCATGCAGCTGTATATCACGATTCGCGGACCGTTTCCAGTGCGATCACGTTGCCACTCACCACTCCCATAGGCTAGATGCGATGACTTCCAATAGCTGCAGCCCTCATTTCTAAAGCTCCTGCTCGACTATCTCAGATGACACAGAATGTCTAACTTCAGAATAATAGACCAGCATCCGAACCCTACGGTCACTGGGACACCGTCCATGGCCCCAACCAGTGTCACGCTGCGTCCCCGTTCCGCCCTGGCCTTTTGTCGCTGCGTCTGATCTCCATAACGCCGCGGGGTCGGGAAGGTCGGCGGGAGGTCGCAGGGCGGTGTCCCAAAGTCGCCGGTCGACACGGGACATGCTCCAGTTTGATACGCGTCGGGGACAGCCGGCGCGGCGTCCCTGAACGCGGCCGACCTCCGTCACCTCAGCCACAAACAGGGGGCGCGTCCCGCCGGTCCCGGCTCTGGGTCCGCGTGACCGAGCGCCGTCCGCGCCGTGGCTGTTTGTAATTCATGACGCTAATTACACCCTGCCCTGAGGACCGACGAGATGTCGTCAGTTACACGTGCATTGTGGCGGTCGGTCGGGCACGTGTCTTGCCGCCGCCGACTCAGTTCTGCCGTGTACGCACCCGAGTCATCCTACACGCGCCGCACTAGCAAGAGTTAAGAGACAAACGTTTTAGCTATACCTAACCTAATAGTTAGTACCTAATAGATGCATTGCTATGGTTGTAAGTGACGGTATAATACATTGTCCCAATAATTAACGCTAAAAGGAATTTTCTCGCTCCACATTAAAAAAAAAATTGTGGTCGTTTCGTTTGACATTAAACGGTTTCCAGTACCTAGAGTTTTACCCATTGTCTAATCGTTTTAGTCGTACAGTAATACAATGGTTAATAAATACCTACAATATAGGCTACATGCCTAAGCATTTGGTTATTTCAAATTAAGGTTTCATCTATGTACCTATGTATTGGACAAAGAACATACAAATAAGGGCAGTGGAAGACGTAGCATTAAAACAAGTGGAAGGCTACTACCAGGAAGGAAGAAGGCGATGCAGATTGCAGAGTGCAGACCAAAGAGCATGGACAAATAAACTGATGCCAAATCAGCAGTTTGCAGAGTCACTCGGTGCCTGCCTCGTCCTTATACGCGGAGCTTCGTGAGCTCTTCAGGTTGGCGCTAAACAGCCCGTCCGGGGCCGGGCCCCGGCGTGTCGGACAGGACAGCCCGACCGTGGTACCGGACAGCCGGACAGGACGTGGACACCCCGGACAGTCGACAGTAGCGACGGACCGGACAACCATGCAGGCTCCACACAGCCTGAGAGCTTGGCACCTGTCCACCAGACAGAGGCGAGGTAGCAGAACGGAACGGACAGGATCTGGCAGTACCAAACCGGACAGGTTGACTGTGGTACGTACGTACCAGACAGCCGAGTGCCGACAGTATCAGTAGTGTACCAGACAGCGGTTGCCGTTCAGTCCGGCCGTGCAGGCTCTGGACAGCCCGGGCCGCGGCGTCGGACGCATTGTTTGTGTTCCGTGACGGGTGTGTGGGCTCTGTCCGCTCACAGAGCTGACAGCTCGCTCCCGCCAGACCGGCAGCCGTCATAAACAACCCAACGCGCCGCTCTGGATCCCAACACATACTGCGCAACCAGCGGCAGTGCGTCACTCGATCCACTGCAGGTCCGGATCGCTGTGAATGATAGATTGATCCGAACTTTGCCGCCGTGCTGGTATCCTTCTGTGATCGTGAGATGATGAGAGCGACTCGACAGGGCGACAGACTGCGAGGACCTCACGTATGAGATGCGCTGCACCGTTAGACGGGCGTGATGTGTATGTGTGTGTGTGTGCTCGCGCGTGCGTTGTGGGCACCGCCAGTGCGTGTGTCGGCGTGAGGAGCTGGGAAGTTGAGATGCGTGGGGGTGTATCATTTGCTGATCACCGAGCTAGGCCTGCAGTACGGGTGGTCTTTATCAGTGGCGGCCGATTATGAGGAAAACCACGCACCTGAAGGTCTCACTCGTCCGCGGAATGATGAGGAAGGGAATAACTGCTGCAGCTTCCATCTGTTTAGATATGACGTGACTACATATTTGACTACTGTCTGTGTTATTGCACGAAATGAAGTTGTAAATGCACGGCATTTGCCAACAGTTCACCTGTAGGAGTGCAATGATTATCTCATCTATTCAAGGTCAGCGATTCTTCCGAGCAAACAAAACGTGACGTCACGTCGATATCATCTGGCCTTGCTCCCTTTACATCCCACGTAAATGTGGCGCATCGGAGACGGGTTTTACTCGAAGGGATAAGTTTATCTACAGAGGTTAATGGCTGTGCAAAGTGAGCATGCAAGTTACGCGTTGTACCAACTCAGAAGACTGATTTGTTCGTACAATGTTAACAAATTTCTCAGTTGTGTAACAATCAGCCATTGACCAACATTCGTTTCACATCCCCTCCTCCCGCCTCCCAGCCTTCGTCGTTCGTCTTTCGCCGACTTTTCATGATGGGCTGAAGTGCTGAGAAACTGTCTGACTCTTTGCCTGCGATGTGCGTGACTGCAGCACTGGAGCAGAGTCGCCGAGCTCACTAACAGAACATCCGGGTGAACACGGTCCTCATTGACGTGTTCATCCAACGTGGGAACTGGTTCGTTATAAGTCCTAGGAATAAGAAGGAGGATTGTAAGATTTAGCAATCGAGGATATGATCCGACACTGGATACGGTCTGTGGTGTTTGGCCAATGGTCAGTAACTAGCGATCAATGTTTGCAGAGAATCAAATAAGATTTCATTGTATCCCATTATCATTTCAAAACTTCAATCTATGCATTACACCACCTTTGTCCCAGCTGTTTACATCAGTGAGTACAATTGTGCAATGTGCAACTGCAATGTAGGCTCATGCAACGATACAAGTGACAGTTATCACCCGAACATGCTCATCCATGCAAGATGTCTCCAGTCATTTCTCGAACCCCTAGCACAGAGATAAGATTTTATCTCCCTCTGCCCAACATTTCTCCCAACTGCTCCTCTGTCATCTCAAATCACAACACTCTATTGTTGTTTCCAAACCCTCTACCCATCATCTCTCACCCTCTTTCCATCCCCTTTGCACCCTCCGTCACCTCTGACCAGCGCCGACACGGGGTCGTCACGCCGTGACCGAGCCGCGGTCGGCGTGACGCGCGTCACCCGTCACGCACGGCTCGCGCCCGACGGTGTGACATGCACACTGTCAGCGCCTCAACGTTTCGTGAGTCGGTGAGATGGCGTCTTCGCTCTCTGGATCCTGTTATGCTCGGAACAAACGCTAAGATGAGCCATGGCCAGACCCGCTACCAGTTGGGCACGCGCATCTGCTGAGAGGTTTTAGCCAGTTTGCGTGTGTTGCATCGCATGTGCACTGATAACTAGACCAGCCTAAGCAATGTTATGTGAGCATTACTATGAGTGGGAAAGTGAATTTCACTTTCGAGAGCTGTAATTTTTGTGTTCGTGTCTGCATAATTATGACTCTGATCTAAGCCGGCATGTTATTTGGGTTAATCGTTCACAAAACGAATCCTTCTCTTACATTTTTCAGCTCCTGTCCAATCTGTTTCGGATGGAGTGGCGTGGCGTCATCGGCCATACCTAAATCCTTGATTCATCCTATACATACTTGTCTGCAGCCTGGTTCTCATGGAAATGCTAGCCAGTGGCATTGAAATTCGGCAGTAATAGGAAAACGACTACCTTCTGTTTGACCATTGAGCATGTGGTTATCTATTACGAGGCGGTATTGCCTGCATGATCTGCGTATTCCTCATGCGTCAGCGTTATTCTCTCTTGTGCGCAGATGCAGTTCCCAGCATGTGGCGCTGCTGTCTACAGCTGTTGCAGTCCCCAGCCGCCGCCTGGTGCTATCGTTTTGTACAGCTGTTGCAGTCTCCAGCCATCCTTGGTGTTGTCCTGAATATACAGCTGTTGCAGTCTTCAGCCATCGCCTGGTGTTGTTGTCCTGTACAGATGTTGCAGTCTCCATGTGTTGTCTGGTGTTGTTGTCCTGTACAGATGTTGCAGTCTCCATGTGTTGTCTGGTGTTGTTGTCCTGTACAGATGTTGCAGTCTCCATGTGTTGTCTGGTGTTGTTGTCCTGTACAGATGTTGCAGTCTCCAGCCACCGCGTGGTGCTGCTGTCCTATACGAGTGTTGCAGTCTCCAGGCGGTGGCTGGAGACTGCAACAGATCTACAGGAGAGTTACACCCAAGATTCTTACAGATAGTTACACCATAGGTAGGGGAGAGTGGGGTGGGTTGTATCAGTTTTTACTCCGAGACCCATAACCTCGTAACTATCCGTGATAAACTCATTATTTCCATACTATCTTCTTCCTTGATTCTTCTGCTTTTTTGTGCAAAGTAACTTTTCCGCTACCTCTACCAGTTTTTCTTCTACGGTCTGCCGAATAGAACAATGTTTTTGATACAACTTGCCCCATGGCTTGGGTGAGTTGTATCACATGGTGGGGTAATTTGTATCACTATTTCACGTTTCAGGGAGTGTGCTTGCTACTGGTTTTGAACATAACAACAACATTAAATGGGGTTAATACAATGTATATGCTCAAAGGCTTCACTTTTATTAGACCAAACTTAGGTCAATCCGAACGAAACATCGAAACGAACGAAACATCAACAGACTAGACGCAAAAGTGGCCCGTTAAGAGCAAAGAAGCCAACACATTGTGCCGAAATGGAACGAGTATTGACTAGCTACCTACAAACGCGAGCCAGGGCTTAGCTTTCGCGATCAAAAGCAACATACCCATACATGCATACATACATACATGTTACAACATACCCCACCCGGCTCTGATACAACATGTACCTGCCGCCATCTTGGAAAAAACATCCTCGTGCTAAAAAACAGCGGACAGCTGGAGAAATCCATTTTCACTCACGCAGCCTTAGAACCTACCCTCACCACCGCTACGGAGATCTTTCAAATTCGTGCACATCTAAATGCCCAAAACACACATTTTCTTGCAACTTATTTTTTTAGAATGACATTAAAAAAACATAAAATCGGCTCTCACCTCGAGACGCGTCCACCCAGCCACACGACAGAGCAGGGAAAGATGGCGCCCGGAAAACCTCGTCGGCTGGTCGTATCACGAGCGCCATCTATTGGATAAGTTTGGCACAATTCGCCCTGATACAACTTGGACATGATACAACTCTCCCCGCTCTCCCCTACATTTAAAACTGCATCAGCGCACAAGAACGAATCACACATGTAGAAATGTTCGTTTCATTTTGTGACGTACTTATCTATAATCTACGGAGCGTAAAACTAAGATCAGGATATCACCTCCAAACTATTTTTAAAACTTAAAATATTGAAGTAGGTAAAGCTACCAGTTCTGGACCGTGAACTCCATAAAATATGTTTATCAGTCTCAAGGTCTCGCAAATTTCCTCAAATCCATCCGGGTGCAGTGTCTGACATGTCCAAAGCGGCTGCCGTTTTTCAGGGTTTGTTGTCGCTGTCACATGTGAGCAGCCACAAACGAGCGTTACTGCCCTGTTCTATTGATGTGTCACGCAAGTCACCGCCACGCTGGCTTCCTCATTTGCTGCCGAGAAGTGCGCCATGAGTTTTAAAAGTCTGACTGATGAGATGTTATATAAAAGGAGAAGGACATCGGACAAAACTGAAGGAAGGAGTGGCGGGAAGGTTTAGAGAGAGAGAGAGAGAGAGAGAGAGAGAGGGAGAGAGAGAGAGAGAGAGGGAGGGAGGGAGGGAGAGAGAAAGAGAGAGAGAGAGAGAAAGAAAGAGAGAGAGAGAAAGAAAGAGAGAGAGAGAGAGAGGGAGAGAAAGGGAGAGGGAGAGGATATAGCTATTCCGGTACTGAATGTTAGAGAGTCTCTCATATGCAACCTTGGATCACTGCTTAGATCAGTGTAAGATGACTTGTCATTCGTAAGGGTTAGGTATTCCCAAAATGACATAATGCGCTCCCTAATATTGTCCAATGAATACTAAGCAAAGTGGATCGACGCTTCAGCGTCATAACACGACCTAAATTGGACAGCACAATCCATTCGTCCTTACATGGCACGGGCAAATTTCAGTTGAAACGGCATGATTGATGCCGACAAAATAAGAAAACCCTCGGCGGGATATTTCAGTTAGAAGTTAAACTGACTGATATCGCCTTAAAACGAAACTAGTTAGTAGCCGTTTTCACGACAGCCATCTGGTACACATTTGGTGCACATCTGGTACAGATTAGGTGCAGATCTGGTCAAATCAGGTTCAATGTGTCTCTTAGCAGCTATCAGCTAGGGTTGCACTAATTGCTTATATGCCTGCTTTGTCATATTATCAGAGAGCATCATCGATTGAAACACTGAAATAGATTCATAAAATGAAGATATTTGCTGTAAAAGAAATTAGGTGCAGAGTTGGTCAAATCAGGTGCATTCGCCGGATAGCCCGCCGTGAAAACGGCTATTAACTACCTAACTAGTAAGTAGAAACGGATGAAAACGACTGTTTGAAAAACAAATGACACTTAGAATCAAATGGATGATCGAAGAATATATTGGATAATAGACGGCAACTCTTTGTATTTTGTGTTGATTTTGCGAATGAATTTTTGTTTACAAATTGCAGCAGTTCATGTGATTTTTAGCTTATGAGTGTTGCAAAACAATGCTCCCATATGTAAAAAGCTAAAAATATAGGATCCTTCGACGACCTGCAGATCACCCTGTTCTACGAGCCAAATCCAACGTAGGCATTCATGCATTCTTCTCAGGTAATCAAAGCACGTCATCACTTTCTCACATTCCTGGTATGTACTACCACCGTACGCCACCCGTGTCCCTTCCTCCCCACTCCCTCACAGAGTCGCTCTGGTGAATCGGATGCACACCGTCTGCCAACACCAGTGAGCCCCGCATGCGCACCAGGCCGTGTTGGCGTGCAGTACTGTGCAGTTTCTCCAACCGACGCATTCTTCCCGGCCGCAGATCCGCGGTTGGTACTCGCACCTCGACTCTGACCGTGAGAGGTTGCGGCCGCGGCGCGAGGGTTGTGTTTACGGCGCCGGGGGCAGCGGCGGAGGGTGGTCGCTCCTCGGGAAGGTCGCCGCAGTGGCCGCGGAGAGCAGTCAGCGGCCGGCGTGCGGCCCGGTGGGTTCGGCGGGCACCACGTGAGCCAGTGCGGAGACTGCCGTGCTGGGTGAGAGACACCCGGCAGCTGCGGGTCATCGGGCGCCCGCCGGTACTGGAGGAGAGGAGACAGCAGGTGGGTCGGGGTGGAGGGGTAGCTAGCCTGTAAAAAGCCAATCTTTTCGTTTATTTTCTTTCTTCAATCTTTTCGGTTTCCTTTCCTTCTTCAATCTTTTCGGAGTTTTTTTTTCTCAATAAAGACTTTCTGGGCTAGATAAGTGAAACTTTTTTTAAATATAAAGGTACTGTGTTATCGAAAGCCTTCGCAAACGCGTTTTGAACATATCTTAGTCAGTGCTAGCTTCCCATAAAACAAAATTAAATGCATTATGGGAATGATTGCACATTTTGATTTTGTATTATGGGAAGCTAGCACCGACGAAGATATGTTCGAAACGCGTTTGCGAAGGCTTTCTATAATACAGTACCTTTATATTTAAAAAAAGTTTCACTTATCTAGTCATACATGTCACAATGAACGTTCAACTTTCTGGGCTAGCACCAAACCATCAGTGGGGTAACTCATATATGGAATCACTGGATGCGCCCACTGATATCGCGTGAGAAATGCATGGGGATATTGTCATGGCCAAGCTGTAAGTCAACGAAGCGTTCGACCTCTGTTGCAAGAGAATGAGTACGAAAACGGATCTGTACCGCACTGAGCAAAAATTAGTTTGACACTTAAACCACTCTATTATTAAAAAATATGTACCATGACGTCTGCGAAACAAAGCGTGAATTACATAGACCTACCTTTTAATTAACCCGGCAGGCGGTGGGCCTACCAGCCACCTTCCGCGCGGTGGGGGGGGGATTTTTTGCCCCCCCTCGTATCTCCGAAACTACTGGACGGATCCGGAAAATTCAAACGGCGTTCGATAGCCCTGTCAAATTTGTCAAGGTAAACCAAACTTCATTGACCTCGGGGTCACCGATGACGTCACAGGTCAGGTCAAAGATAAAATGTTTCACCGTTCACGGGGCTTCTAGGGAAAGTGCTAAAACACCGAGTAAAACGCATTTTGTCGAAAATCAGCGATAAGGCGTCAGTTGTCTAGTACATATGTTGCTATTAGAGGTCACTGGTCATTCCAGGTCAGGTCACAGGTCAGGTCACCAAAGGTCACCAAGGGTCACCACATGAACCCAACTTTACTAAGGTTGTGCGGTGCATGTTTTATGGCCAGTTTTTTCATTTTCAACTCAATGGTGTTGGTTATAAGACCATCAGGTACGGTTTAGGTCACTTTCTGGTGGAGGTCAGGTCAAGGTCAGGTCAAAAAAGGTCAAATTTCAAAGTTGATATTTTTGCATAAAATGGGTATCGATTCGATGCAGCTCGTCACGGGGAGTCTAATGGTGGTCTTTGTTTTGCGCTACGAGGTCTAGAATTGCTAAAAATTGAGTTTGAAAATTTGACGTCATCAATTTTGAACAGTGTTTTCGCTATAACTTGGCCAAAAAAGAGGTATTGATCTCAAATTTGGTATGTAGATAGAAGGCGGTAGGAACTATTACATATATTCCGGTTTTTTCGAAATTCAAAAAACTTTTTGGATTTTTCGGCTATTATTTTCAAAAATATATTTTTTTATTTTTAGGGGTCAAAATAAAAAAAAAATGAAAAACCGAAATAGCAGTTTTGTAGCCCTCTTAATTCCACACCTTTTATGTCTGAATCATTTTTCTGTATCTCTAAAGCTGTAGGCCTGACAGCTCTTCCCGCAAAACCTTTTTTTGGGTCGAAAATGGCAAAAATGACGTCACTCTGACGTCATTAGCGGCCAACCTATCATAGCCTTTGGAAAAATTTTGGTCAGCATGTGCGCTAGCTACTCCCGGGAGGGTACTGAGAGTTTGGTGACGATCGGCGCAGCGGTTCTCGAGACATATCGAAAAAACTAAAGGGGGGCAAAAAAATGCCCCCCCACCGCCTGGAAGGTTAACCCGCGCCCCGCTGGGGGGGGGGGCAGAATCTACCCCCCCTCCCGTTTTTCGCCAATAATTTCTAAACGCGTTACGCCAGCGACGTCAAACTTTCAGTACCTTATCATACATCAATTTGACACATTCCCTGAAAATTTGAGCGAAATCCGTCGGAAATTTTTGAGACATTGACGTTTTAGTGACGTCATGTTCGCCATTTTGCCTCAAAACGGCAAAATTTCAAACGCCGCTAACATCTTCATTTGTAAAGGAATCAAGACGTAACAAAAAAGGTTATACGTGATTCTACTTTGTCTATCAAATGGCTATCTCGGTTTTGTGAAAATTTTGGATTTTGGCCCAATTTTTTTTCAAAAAACTGACTTTTTTTTGGGAAAATGATTATAACATCCAAAATTTTGAGTGTATCGAAAAACCGGAATATATGTCAGAGAACTGCTCTATGTGCACCTACATACCAATTTTTAGAAGAATCGGTTCAAAAATGTGGGAGTTATTCAAAATTTTATGACGTCACCCCAGCCAGCAATTCGCTTGGGCTGAACTGTGGCAAACGTCGGGCAGCTTGGGCTTAGCTTGGGTTTGCCCACTTTGATCAAAACCAATGTATTTTTTACTAGGGCTGAGCTGGGGCATGCCGCAGCTATGCCCACGTGCGGAAAGCAGTAGCTCAGCCCGACATCTGCCCGCGCATCCAAAACAGGCTTAACTTGGGCGGAGCGCGGGCTGATCAAGCTGGCTGTGTCCTTCGGCTAACTGGAGTAAAGCCGGAGCTTAGCCATACTTGTTCGGCTGTTCGCGCATGCGCAGTTCTGCGCCAATCATGTGCAGCGTTTGTGACAGTCTGCGCGCTGTGCGACGAAACGACACACCGGTGTTGGGGCATTTGGTGGTTGATGTTTGGGCGCGTGTGGCAGCGCGAAGAAGGGATAGTGCTCACTGCTCTTATCAAGTGGACTGGCATGGAGTTTTACGGTAGGTAAGTGTATTGAATGGTGCGCTTGATCGTATGTAAACGTCATGATTTTGACTGAGTTTCACACCATCAAACGTGAAGCTGAATAGCTGTTCAGCCTGGCGACTTATAGGGGAAGCCGGGGGAAGCCCGGCATAGTAAGCTCTTTTTCATTTTTATTACATACCATACGTGCTGTATAAAATGTTGATATCCTGCTAGCTAGCTAAGTTCATTGGCCGTGTTTTCCCAAAAATTCGGTTTCGTGGAATAAGTATAAGGTTGAGAAAATCGAGTTTTAAAAAAGTGTTGATTTTTCTGGGGTAAGCCCGGCATAGGGGTAACGCCTTACGCCGGCCACCTCCCCAGCGCTTTACAACGAGTTGATGAAACCATTATGTGTTTTCCAAATATTAACGGAAAGTGAAATATTAAGGTACTGATTAGCTCTGGACATCTTAGAGTGTATGTCACTACTGGTATTTTAGCTAGCGTCTACTACATATACAGTACAGGTCGATGAAAATCGTGATGCAAAATTGACAAAAAATGTGTATTTCAAAATTCCTTAAAATTTATTTTTCTTTTTACCTTAATGCATCATATTGCATATCATTCGACTCGGCTGATGAAGAAGAACACAACGACACCATTTTTGAAGCTCTAGCTTCATTGTCTGTCGCGTTATCTGCAAAAACGTAGTTTGACCCTAGTTGACCTTAAGTGACATGACTGGCTTGGTCTATGATAACATGTTTATTTTCGAAATTTATCTTTGATCTAGGTGTAAACCAAACCTGCTCAGTACCTATTATCTCATGGAAAACAGTGGTTTAGTAGCATTGCTCTCGGTTGGGGGTAAGCTTGGCCACTCGCCCGGGGTTACCCCAATGTGCTAATTTTTATTTTAGAACAGCGATATTCGAAAAAATGTCATACTTAAGCCAGCCTGCCTCGTCACCCCTCACTACAAACACTTAAACGGTCCTTACATAACATTCGTATAAATATTAGTACTGTATGGTATAACATTAACCCTATTAGTGGCAGGCTCCTGGCTACCCCATATTAGTGGCAGGGGGGCTGTTTACGACCCCCCCTTGATATCTCGAGATCTAACGGGCCGATTTTCAAAATTCAAACGGCATTCGATTTGGCTCAACGAGATCTACATTTCTAAAAAAAATAAAATTAAAAAATGTCAATAGGGGGGTAGAGGGGGGTAAAAAAGGGCAAATTGCAGATACATTTTAGACTGTTTATCACGGCCAGGTTTCTGAACCAATCTTAATGCAACTTTTGCCGATCGATAGAGAATGAACCAGGAATTCACATGGATCCTAAAAATATGCATTTTCAAAGATCATAGGCGGATACAGATCATTGAGATTGGGGGTACACAAAAAGTATAGTAAATAAGGTTTTTGTTGGTACTGTTTCTAAAAAGGGTGGCAATGGTCTTGTTATGTTACAATTTTCTTATGAGAGAACGACTAAAATTGTATTGGTCATGCATAGGCGGTGTCAGGGCACCTATGTTGGGAGGTAAAAAATAACCCCCCTTTTTGGACGCCTGGATCCGCCTATTATAGCAAAAACGTGTCAAAAGAGGATGCACAATAACTTTGTTTATGTTATCACATGATACCTTTCATTCACTGTTCGTAAAACTGGTGCAGCATCGTGATCTTCGCCCAAATGACTCGCTTCACGAATAGGACCCCCCAATTCCCAGTGCTCTGGAGCCGCCCCTGGTAAAGTTATGAACTTGAAATTTTCAGGGAATGTGCCCAATTTAGTTTTAGGAAAAGTCAGAAAATTTCAGCATCGTAGCTTCAGCGGTTTTGGAGATATTCCCGAAAAACCTGAGGGGTGGATAAAAACAACCCCCCCCCTGCCACTAATAGGGTTAACAGTGCAAGATATCTCACTTTTTAGCTAAAAACCCTTAAAATATCATTTTTGCGCTATAACTTTAACAATATGCAATTTTTGTCAGCCTTAACTTTTTTGCTGGCGTTACCTTAGCTGCCACGCTGAAAGGACAAACAGTTGAGCATTTTATTGTGAATAATTTAGCCGGAAACGGGGTGGCCGGGCTTCCCCCGCGCCCGGGCTTCCCGCGGCTTCCCCTACCCTCGCTCAGAAAAGCCGCATTTCGTGCCTTTATA